ACATAAGGGAATTCTATATATGGAAATATTATTTGCATTCTAAATTTCGATTATGATTATGGCATCCCTTTTCATAATTCAAATTATGAGAACATGGAAAATAAAAATATTATAGCAAAAGACTACTCTAGTATCATGTCTTTAAGTGAGACATCATGAACCGTGTCATGTATACTGCGGATATAGGATCGATTACATGTGTTGTAATATTCACCCATTCAGATTTTTCTAAAAGCCTGGGGCATTAAAAGGGAAAAAAGAATAGAACTGGATATGACTAACATGATTAAGCATTTTTTGAGCACAATCTGAGGTTTACCAAAGATTGGTTGCTCATGGACAGTTGGAAGTATGGTGTAAATTTTGGAAAGGACTTTATAGACATATTCTGAAAAGATGTGACTCTTGTTCAGAAGTAATAGTCAAAATGGGAATATGTAAATGTTTCCATAGGTGGAAGGTATACATTAAATTTGTGTAAGATTAGAAAACTTAATGCAAGAAGGATGTTCAAAGGAATGTACTTTGAATATGAGAATTCATTTCCATTGAATTCCTCTCCATTGGAATACTTTGTAATGTCTGTTGCCAAGTCTTTGTGACCTTTGTGCATAGTCATTACAGGAGGATCATTGCATATAAGTTTAGAATCTGCCAGATTTCAGTAAATGGCAAATAATCTTGTATTCTTACATTTATCATAAGGATTTGGAATTGTGAAATGAGCATCATTGAAATGTTTTCAATTGATGTATTCCACAAAGAAAGGATCATAGGTAAACATAGTGTGCATGTTTGTAGCATGGGACAACTATTGTTTTAGTTCAAATATTAAGTTGATTATTTGAAACATTATACAATGAATAATGAGTAATCAATATGACTCGAAAGTTTTGGGGCCATATAGGATTAGTATTGTTCTTGTGTTTCACTTTGCATATTTTGACTTCCCGAATAACTAGTTTATTCAAACCGTGCATAGTTGATCATACTTTGGAAGTAGGTATTGAGGCAAGACTGTCATGAATGGGTCCATAGTTTGTCTAGATATTTTAGACATAGTTGTAGTATTCATGAGTGCTTCTAGAATAAAATTCGAGTATTGGATTAAACCCATGCTCATTTGAATAACTTCATGGATTCTATCACGAGTGATCATGAGATGATAATATCTTATATTCTTCAAACGGAGAGATATGATTGGAAGTCTACAAGTCGGTTGCACATTGATAATGTGAAAACACACCAGTAACTTGGTGTTATAAAACACATTGTTGTGTGTGAAATGATGAGTAAATAGAGAAAGCATCTGAGTCGAAGTTTATCCGTTCCTTTTACCCTTGGAGGGATAAAAGCGATATATGTAGGCCCCTCGATGATTTAGTGATGACAACCCTAGGCGCTCGGTCGAGCCTGGTCTGATTTGGTTTGTTCAGTTAGTTGGTCGTCAAAAATCGGAAATCAGGAAACAACTGATGGATAGAGAGAATGATTTTAATCCATTTGTTAGTCCATATGATATCTAGAATGGATGAATATATGATCCCATATCTAATGGACGTCTCATTGAATAGGTCAGAGTTCAACAACGCCTTTTAAAAGCTACGATTGCTAGCCAAGTTTTTGGATTCGTACTTGCAATAATAGTTATTAGACTTATCCAAGTGGGAGATTTTTGGATTATGTGTCTAAGCGCATCACTATAATTGGTATGTACTTGACCCGAGAGTAGCATGGTCCATCTGGGTTGCATATCATCAAGACAATTTGTTAGGATGGACTTTTGAGAAGAGGTTATTTATGATTTATTAATATATTATAAGTTATAATATATTAATATGAAATCGTATGATTTAATTAGTATTGATCAAGAATTAGTTTGGAATTAATTTAGTGATCAAAAGAGACTAATTAAATATATAGGGACTAATTATGGTAATTAGTGAAACATATATATTGGGCTATTGATCCATGTTGGACTAAGAGTTAGGCCACATGAACCATGGATCATAAACCCATGGGTATCGGTTTAGGTTAACCCATGATGTTCGGAATCCCACATATAAATATGTTGCACCATAGCCAAAATTGCCACTCATGTTCTTGGAGTTCATATGGATGGTTTTATGTGGCTAGTATTCTCTCTCAAATGTCACCCTTTGTCCATGGTGTGTTGTGATTCCATTTGAGGCATCCACACTATTGGTGCTAGTCTCTTTAAGCCAAATACAACAATGTTTCAAGCTACATCATAAGGTATGTTCTTCTAACTAGTATTTGTATTTGTTTATATCAATTGCATGCTAGTTATAAGCTTAATGCTTTGGAAACACTATTACATGTATAATTGGAGAGAACATATATCATATGCAAATAGGGTTGTATGTGCACCATAGGATGTTGTAGTATACAAAACCCAACACCATTCACAAGAGATACTTCAATTCCTAATAAAGAGGACCACTCATAATTCAAGGGGGAGAATAAGGATGTGAATGATGATTCAGACGTTAAATCAGAATTTGAAGAAGTAAATGTTGAATTGGATCCTTCTTATGATCCAAATTATCCTCCACTAGTCAAATGGACCAGAGATCACCCCAACACCCAAGTCATTGGTCAATCTTCTGCAGGTGTTCTTATGAGATCTCAAATAAAAGTGAAATGAACTACATTATTCTCTAAAGTGGAATTATGTATGTTCCATTCGTTCGTGTCCAAGATCGAACCCAAAACAGTCACACTGCTCTTAATCATAATGATTGTGTGCAAGCGATGCAAGACGAGCTCAATGAGTTCAAACAAAACAAAGTTTGGAGGTTAATTCCTACTCCACCTGAAGCATCAGTTGTTGGTTTGAAATGGGTTTCTCGCAATAAGTTGGATGAAGAAAGGAATGTAGGCGAAACTCATGGTTAAGGGTTACTTCCAGGAAGAGGGTATCGACTACAAAGAAACCTTCACACATGTTGCAAGGTTGGAATCAGTTCGCATATTCATGGCATACGCAACACATAAGAACTTTGAAGTGTTTTAGGTGGATGTTAAATGCACATTCCTGAATGGTGAATTAGAAGAAACGGTATATGTTGCACAACCACCTGGGTTCGTTAATGAGAAGTATCCAAATCACTGCTACATTTTTTATAAGGCGGTTTACGGACTGAAGCAAGCTCCGAGAGCCTGGTATGAAACTCTTACTCATTTCCTTAAATTCTATAAATTTAAACAAGGTTCGGTTAACCCAACTTTCTTTCGCAAGAAAGAGGGTGACCACTTGATGATCATCTAAATTTATGTTGATGACATCATCTCTATTGTTCTTCTTCATCATCAATCTGCAAAAATGGCTGGTTCTTCATCAGTTCATGATCAAACCGCACACTCCTTACTACTTTCCATCTAACAGAATCAAAACTTGATTCTTGATTTGTCTCCATTCAGGTACGATTCATGCATGTTGCCTATCATCAAATGGTTGAAGTATTCCCCTCTGGTCACTGCTTTTAACTAAACTTGAGTGTGTTTCAATGTCTCTGCGCTCGAAGGCTTATTCTTCTACATTGTACATCAAAGAAGAGGAACGCATCACCTATGAAATCTCTGACAATATAACCTCTATCACCAAGGCAAGGTTTTGTTCTCTGCTACGGCTTGCATACGATGACTCAATGGTGAATCCAAACACAATCTCCACTACAACTATTCTCGAGATGTTCTATGAGATGGGGTATAAAGATCTCATTCCGTTAATCCCCAAGTTCAAGAAACCCAACTTGCCTCCTCAATGGAATGGTTTGTTTAATCTTCTCTTCAAAGCTTTTTTGTGAAAAAGTCACAGGTTCAGACTGTGCTAGTAAGTTGTTTATGACCTTGACGTATGGTATCTACTACACCATTAACCTTGATTATGGCACTGTTTTGTGGGCTCAATTGGTACCAAGTACTCACTCCACGACTCGACACAGTGAGATTTCATGTGCTCATTTTTCTGGACTATTGTTGTTCAACGGGCAATCAACAAATACCAAATTTCGATGATGAAGGATTCTTGAAGTCTTCGATTGCTACTTTTCACACAAACAAAATCATTATTTCTGACAACTTGATGTTCGCTTTTGCTGGTTCCATTCCAGAGACCATGTTTCATTGTGTTCCAGTTGCAAGCAAGATTTTGGAGGAGTACAAAAAGATTCCATCTTCAGGAGCTCGCACTATTACTCCTGAGATGCGCTTGACTATTGATGAAGTTGACAAGGTGAAAAAGTGGGGTAAACAAAAGAAACAGATAGAGGGTCCCTCTAAGCTAGCTGCTACTCTAAAGAAGCGAAAGGCAAAAACTGCAACTTCTGCAACTCAACCCAAAATGCGAATACAGCCTGCTCGTAAGCAAAAGACCCCAACACTAAGTGCAACCAAAGGTTTAGAGTCAGACAATGACTTTGATGTTCGCTCTAAGGAGGACAATCATGGTCATCATGAGTTGGTTCATAATGAAGATGTTCACAACAAGGAAGAAACGCTTCATAATATAGAGACCACATCCAATCCTGAGGTAACTCAACCTTTTAATGACTTTGTTCCTTCTCCACCTCCTTCTCCTAAAACCACCTCTATCCCAATAACAATTTCTCCATGCCCTCCACCAATTTTTGCGTAACAACAAAACACTATTCCTCTCTCTATCCTATTTTTCAATGATTCAACAGTTCCTCCAACCACATCTACCCCAACTTTTGTTTCAGTCAACGTATCTGATACGGGGGCTACAACTTTAGGTTTCTCAACTCATGTTTCACCTCCCATTTCCCCAATTAACTGTAATAACCCATATATGGTCTTTAGTGATGATGAAGATGAAGATCTTGGGGGTTTTACTTACAACCCTTTTCAGATCTGAACTGAGAGTGAAGATGAGGTGCAGGTTACAAAAGGGAAACTTCAGTCCCTTCATGATAAGATTGACAAATTAATTCTCTCTGCCAAGGCTTCCTCTTCTGATGAATATGCTAAAGTCGTTGTTTATTGACAAATTAATTCTCTTTACCAAGGCTTCCTCTTCTAATGGATATGCTAAAGTCGTTGTTGAGTCACTCTTTGAACGAATCTCCAAGGAACATACAGCTAATGGAGACAATATGAACAAGGTTGTTGCTGATTCTGCTGAGGTTTGCAAAACAACGACTGAAAAAGTCGATAAACTAATTGCTGACAGTACTACTTTCATGGAAAACTTCCAAACCATTTTCAACTCTAATACCACTACAGAAAATGAAGATTTGAAGAGTCTGGGATCTCTCTTCAAAATCGAGAAGACGAAGTTGCAAGAGATTTGCTCTGGTCTGAAAAATGTCCATGAAGCATTTCAAACCTCCATTTCATCTCAAATCGTAAAGCTTCAACAAGAACATGCAAAGGAGAATGATCTCAAGGAATCTCTTGCTATCAAGACCGAAGAAGTCAAGGAGTTAAGTGCAAAGTTGAATACTTCGGAGAAACAGGTCAATGATCTGTTATCTGAGAGGGAGGTCATGTGAAGTTGTATCACTAATGTTACTGGCATGCTCTTAGATATCATTGACACCAGGGACTCCATGATCGCCATCACAATGCGCAAGCATCTGGTAGAAAAGTTAAGGCCAGTCTTTGCAACTCTTCTCCGCCTTGAAAGTGTTTCAGATCAAAGCATTAATTAGAAACAAGGGGAAAAGTTTGTCTGGTGGATCACGAAAAGAAGAACCCAAAGCTCCAGTCAAGCCTGTTATCAATCAAGAACCAAAGGGTAAAGAAAAATTGTTTAGTGATGAGCCTATTATTGATGATGACGACAAAGAAGAGCCTGATGAAGAAGAACTAAAAAGACGAAAAGGTCGTGAAGCCAATATAAATGAGCACCAGCGAATCATCCATGAGGCTGAAGAAAAAGAAAGGGCTGAGAAAGAGGCACAAACAATTCTTCAAAGCAAGAAGCTTTTGTTTCTTGCATGGACCATGAAGAGAATCCAAAATGATGCAGTCGATTTAACAAGCCATTATTTGTTAGAACCAATTGTGTCTTTTGATTTTCAAAATACACAAGATTCGCAATTGGATATCCCAATCACTACTTAGGCTTTCAGGTTTTGTTCCTTTATGAAAACTGCGAACGCTCCATACACTTACAGCGGGGCTGATCATATGATATTCTCGTTTTCTTTAAAGCATATGAAGCCACAATATGAGGCCTGGTCATTAAGCAAGATCACTGGTGTGAAAGTCACAGGGCCTCTCGAGACTAATAGCTTTCCGAACGCGAAGTTAAAAGTTGCCAGAGGTTCAACCAATCAGGTATACGAATTTACCCTTGCTGACTTGCCATGTCTCAACCCCAATGATTGGTTCGTTCTTTACAATATGCTGCTGAAAGAAAAAGACAAATACGAACCTGCCATGTCACATCTTCAAATAATGATCAAGTCTTACATTCAAGAGATTGGTAACATGGACGTAGAAGTTGCAGCGGTGTTGCAAAAGAAGCCTACTGTTGTTCTCAAGGAATCTCCAAAAGATTTGGAAAAAATAAAGTTGGGGAAGATCTATAGCAAGGAATGGTATGTGGTGTATCAGTCTAGGGATCGAACCGAAGCAGACTATTGTAAAGATTGTTTCTTCCTTTCCAAAAAAATACTTGTTCACTACTAAATTACTTGAGCATATATTGGTTTTGGTGAAAAGATTCAAGGGAAACAGCAAGGATGACATCAAAGTGCTTCTCACATATGATTTTGTGGTATTTGGAAGTTCGTCAGACCGTACTTGGCATCATTCCAAAGGTGGATGAAGTTCAAAAGAGAATTCAAGGGTGATGGGTTCGTCCCTCAATTGACGCAAAGGGGGAGATAGTTGGGTTTTTGATGTTGCGTCATTGGGCCTTTTGCTTAGTTATTTTGTATTATCGAGTTGGGACTGTCCACTCGTTATTTATTCTAGGGTTAGAGTATTTAAGATGAATGCATGCATCGTATTTTAGTTAAATCTATGATATTTACTTTGTACCCCTAACACACATCTACAGTTGAAATTCTTCATCGAGTTCATCTGTGGTGTGACGTTTAATCATTCATCATCTGTTTGATTTTCATTGTATTCATTTACTTGTTTAAATCTAATTGACCTTAAAGTATTTTCATCCTAACATCATAGCAGCGGTTACGGACTCATAGTAGCAAATTGTTAGAAACATTATACATTGTCGTTGTACAAGTATTAATGTTAAGTATAAGTTTCCCCAGCACTTATACTCTAGGTACAAGGAATATTTAGGTATATCACTTATTTAGTAAGTAAACTATTATACCTAAGATATATATACTAAATGTTGGAGACAATTATGGGCTAAATGTTGGAATAGTGTCTAAGGCTATAACTATATTTGGTGGTGCATGGTCCTTTTGGGTTGCCTTCACCATAGCAACTTGAAGGATGATTTATTAAGAGAGAGTGAATATTATAAGGAATAATATTTAGCTATTTGATTAATATAAGTCATAAATTAATTGGTATTAATTTGGTGACTTAAAGAGATTAATTAAATAAGAGGGTATAAACTGTCAATTGTTTGATAGTTAGACTTTAGACTATAAATCCATTAGGATACACCTTGGACGGATTCTAAGAGCTTTAGGATAGCTCAAAATCGTCCATATGGTTATCTATGGAATGGATTTGGATAGCCTTAAGAGAAGATTATCCAATTAGGGTTTAGGGTGAAGCCCTTAAGGAGTCTAATAGTATAAATAGCCCCTATGGGTGAGGAAATTCGACACACAACCTAAAGCAAGGAACCTCTGGTCGAATTCCTCCCCTCTCCTCTCTCCTAAATCATCTTGCTTGCTATTGGTGTTTGTAAGCCATTAGAGGAGTGACAATTGTGACTCTAGAAGCTCCAAGACAAACAAGATCAACAAGGGATTCAAAGGTATGATTCTAGATCTGTTTTAATATTGTTGTTTAACCTAATTAGCCATTAGAAGTCTTGGATTCAAAAGCATGTTTATTAGAAAGCCTAGATCCAAGCAATAGGGTTTTGCATGCGCACATAGGAAAGTTCTTATGGCTAAAACCCAACAGTGGTATCAGAGCCTAGATTGGTTTTCTTTAAATTGTTGCTTGAATTAACTGAAACAAACCTGCAAAATTCGATTTTTTGGGTTTTGAGTCACTGACTCGTCGAGTTCCAAGGTGGACTCGTCGAGTAGGCCTGACTCGGCGAGTCCCCTTGTGCACTCGGCGAGTCCAGGCGTCAGGAATGGCCAGATTCGGGATTTTTTCATAATTATCTTATGGAAACTTACCTTAATCATATTAGATCAATGTAAATCCGATTTTTTGATAAATATGACTATTATCTTGATCTAATTAAAGATATTTATCATCTAATAAAATATTTAATTTCCTTATATGATAATGATTAATTATTTTGGTAATTATCTTCAAAGAAATCAAGATAAATCAAATAAAGATAATTAGAATATTAATTGTTAATTGGAATTATTTGTTATTTGATCCTTCATGTTTTAAATGTTTAAAACCTACCCTAAAGTTTTGAAATTTATATTTGTGATTAAAAGTTTTAATTTAGACAACTTAAATTTCAAACCCTAGATTTGAAAAGTTTAAAATGTAACCCTATACTTATATGATATTACTAGATTAATATATATATGTATAACTAAATGCTAGTCTTACCGCTAGTAGGCCTCATTCACGAAGCCGATCTATAAGGTGGGTATAAGGTTGCGGCCTATAAAATGGCGCTTAATGGGTGTACACTCACACCCACCGCTTGCTTGATTGGTGGAGGGTCGTTAGCCGAACGGGTAGGATAGGGCAACCTCATCCTCTCATTAAAAGTATAATAAGAAATACGAAGTAACTAAATTTTTTTAAATTTCCCAATCTTAGTTACTTTAGGAAAAGTGAATTGATGCAATCCCATGAAATTACACTTTGCACCTTGCTAAGATGTTAGTGGAGCGTGTGTGGTTTACCGGCACACTAATTGGTTCTAAGCGAAGGTGGCAAAGGGTGATTCATTGTTCATCATAGTTCGATGGAGCGTGTGTGGTTTACCGGCACATCGAATAGGTGATCGTTACAATGAAGGCACCATGTGAATTTGCATGGTAATTCACACCCGCTTTGTGATCCTCGGCATCCCAGTCACAAACAAGAGGGGCATATCGAGATTTAAACATGCCATTGAATAGTTCAATGAATCTCATCCGAATCTAGGAATTCTCAAAAACACTTAGGACTAAAAGTTTAAGTTTTGTGATGGAGAATTAGTGAATCGTCATTCACTTACCTTCAATTTATTTGCATGTTAGATTACGGCATCCCTTTTCTAGTATGTAAATGTTATTGTTGGATCCTAGCCCTAATTTTTCTTATTGGGTGATAATTAGGGATTCTTATTCTAATCAATCTTTGTCCTTTCTATAGATGTCAAACGCAAACAACGCTGCTGCTAGTTCTTTCACGTTGATGAGCCTTTGCCAAAAGGTCACCTTCGATGGAACGAACTTTGGCGAATGGATAAGATACATTCGCACCATTGCTCGCTATGAGGATAAAGAGTATGTCCTCGATGAGAAGCTCGAGAAAATCAACCCCGAAGTTGCTACTCCCGCCGAAATCACCGCCTTTGAAACTCATGAGCGAGATGCAACGAAGGTACATTGCATCATGATCGCCACCATGAACTCCGAATTCCAAAAGTCCTACGAGGACATGTATCCATACGAATGCATCAAGACTTGTTGGAGAGGTACCACCAAAACGCGAGACAAGAGCGTTACGAGATCTTCACTAACATGATTTCCGCCAAGATGGGTCATGGAGAATCTCTTACCGTGCACTTGCAAAAGATGCAAAGGTATGTCGACCGCCTTCGCAAGTTAAATGTTGACTTCGGCGAAGACTTGGCGATCGACATGGTGCTTCACTCTTTGCCTCCGATGTACAATCAATTTAGGATGACCTACCACATGAACAAAGAGGAGGTCACTCTAAGTAAACTCCAAGGTCTCTTGAGGGTTGCTGAGAGCAATTTCAAGGACAAGTCTGTTGCACCAACTCCCAATCCATCCGCTGCTCCTGTCTTGGCTATTGGTCAAGGGAAGGGAAAGAAGAGGAAAGCTTCTTCAAATAACTATCGAAAGGTGAAAGCCCGAGATGGTTCCTCTTCTAGTGGGACCAAAGTTGATCCCTCTAAGCCCTGCTCTAACCCGAAGGAGGCAGAGTGCCACCACTGCCACAAGATAGGACATTGGAAGAGAAGCTGCCCGGATTACCTGCAAGCCATCAAGGAAGGAAAGATCAAGCCATCTTTCGCAGGTATATATGCAATCAAATCTAACGATTCTAATCATGCTATTTCTTGGGTTCTTGACACCGGTTGTGGTTATCACATTTGTTCTAATGTGCAGGGACTAAGAAGAAGTAGGGATGTGGAGCAAGGAAGGATCAATCTAATCATGGGGAACAGAAGATCGTCGCCTGTGACCAAGATTGGAGTGTATTCTTTAGTGCTTAAGAATAGTTTAGTTTTAGATTTGAACAATTGTTGCTATTCGCCAGAAATGGCTAGAAACATCATTTCATTTCATGGTTTATATAGACAAGGATTTAGATTTTCTTTTAATAATGAGAATGGTTCTATTTTGGCTTATCTAAATGGTGTCTTTTACTTTGAAGCTATACCATGTAATGGAATATATGAAACTGTTATGATTGTTGATAACTTAGGAAATGATGTTTTGAATATTGATTCTTCCACTAGTATGGATAAAGCATCCTTGTGGCATTGTCGTCTTGGACATGTCAACAAGAAACGCATAGCCCAACTCCAAAAGGATGGAGTGTTGGAGTCATTCGACCTTAGGGAAGATGACACATGCGAGTCTTGTTTACTTGGAAAGATGACTAAGTCACCCTTCACGAGTACTTGTGAAAGGGGTGAGGGACTATTAGACCTAATACATACCGATGTATGTGGACCTTTTAGATCAACCACGAAGGATGGGAACCGCTTCTATGTGACTTTTACCGATGATTATAGTAGATATGGGTATATCTATTTAATCAAGCAAAAGTCAGAAACCTTTGAAAAGTTCAAAGAGTTCAAGAATGAAGTGGAGAATCAATTGGGCAGGAAAATCAAGATGCTTCGATCCGATCGAGGAGGAGAGTACCTAAGTCTTGAATTCCACGATTATCTCAAGGAGTGTGGAATAGTTTCGCAATTGACGCCTCCTAGGACACCGCAGTTGAATGGTGTGGCAGAAAGGCGTAATCGAACCTTATTGGATATGGTTCGCTCTATGATGAGTCGTGCTTCACTACCTATCTTCTTTTGGGGGTATGCCTTAGAGACTGCCGCCCATATCCTTAACCGAGTCCCTACTAAGAAGGTTGCCAAAACACCTCACGAGATGTGGACGGGGAAAGCTCCCTCGTTGGCACATATCAAGGTTTGGGGTTGCGAGGCTTTCGTAAGACGAGATACTCACGACAAGCTTGAACCTCGAAGTGAGCGATGTATTTTCATCGGCTACCCGCAAACTTCCTTTGGATATCTCTTCTATAGACCGAAAGATAATGTTTCTTTGTTGCGAGGAGAGGAGTTTTCCGAGAGCGAGAACTCATAAGCCAAGGAGACAGTGGGAGGCAAATCGAACTTGAAGAGATTCAAGAATCGATAGATGAAGGAACCTCTACCGCTGGCATTCAACCCGAGGAGGAAACTCCGGTTGAACCGATTGACGAATCCTTACCTCTTAGACGTTCCGATAGAGTTAGAGTT